CAACAAACTGCTGCGGATTGGCTGTCCATACCTTGATCTGTGAGATGGATGAGAATGTTATGATAAAAGCTTTATAAAAAAAAGACACATGACACACACTCACCCTGCCCACAAACCTGATCCTCCGTGATCTGCATGTAGAGGATGATGTAATATATGAGCTCTGGTAGAGCTTTCTTCACTGTGCTCTTGAACTTCTTGTTCTCCAGCAGTGTGTGGACGAACTCGAAGATGCTGAAGACGAGGTTCTCAAAGCCAAGGACCTCACCTGCGACAATGACAATAAATTAACAAAGCTCAATGCTTACTAAACCAATCTGAATAACTTTGATCAATTCTTGCAAAAATCTAGTGCCACATACCATCAGAGTCAACAGGATCATCTACTTCTTCTGTGTAGTTGACCTCAGTTCTTACATAAGTACATGCTTGGTTAAAAAAAAATACTTTAATGTTTTACTGAAATTACGGACACAGACAAAAACAACAAATAGGTCTGAGATATTAATGGAATGGTTTACCCAAAAATGGAAAGTTTTTCGCCCTCAGACCTTCTAAGATGGAGAACGCAATATTATGGACTCATATTATAACTGAACAGTTATAAGTTAAAAATGTCTTGATGGATGTTTATTATAAACACACAGCTTTTAACTTTATAAGACGTTAATTAATGGACTGTTAGTCGAGTGGATGTTTTTCTCAGCTGTTTGGACTCTCATTCTGACAGCACCCATTCACTGGAGTGGATTCATTGGTGTGCAAGTGATGTAATGCTCAAAATCTGTTATGATAAATACACAAACTCATCTACATCTTTCGATGGCTTGAGCATAAATCAATTTTCATCTTTGGGTGAACTTTTCCGTTAATGGCGATAGTTTAAACAAGTGGTAAAAGCTGTCAATGAATGAATGGATATAAAGAGGCGCTTTCTGTCAAGGTGTTCCATACAATAGGAAGAATCTGTTGCATGGACGACACCATGGGTTTGGGGAAGTTCTTCACAAGAGCTGTCACTGCCTATGAAGGGAAAACAATTGATAATTACATTCACATCACTAGGGGAAAAAGTATTTTTCTGCACAATACAACAGCTAGTCACCTTTAGTACTTCCATCTTCAGGCCACTATCTGAAGTGGGTCCATCTGGAATCTGCAGCGCCTGTATGAAGGCCTCAGTGAACTGCTGCACCACCGGGAAGATCAGAGTGTTGGCAGCACCCTAAAATCAAACATAATTGTTTTAAAATGTCAGTAGCCCATTTAATATTTATTGTAAAGCATTGGGTATTATGAAGTCACAATTTCCACCACATTTATTCATTTAGGTTAATTTATACAATGTGGAATTAAAAATGTATACAAATACAGTTCAAAACCTTTGGGTTGATAATTTTTCTCTCTCATGTTTTTAAAACAAGTCTCTTTACTAACCAATGCTGCATTTATTTGATGATAAAATACAGTAATACTGAGAAATATTAATGCAGTTTAAAATAACTGTTATATAATAAAATAACAAAAAAATATTTATGTGATGGAAAAGCTGATTTTTCAGCAATTATTACTCCAGGCGTCAGTGTCACATGATCCTTCAGAAATCATTCCAATACGCTGATTTGGTGCTCAGGAAACATGACTTATTATTAATGCTGAAAACAGTTGTGCAGCTTAATATTTTTGTGCAAACCCTGATACATTTAATAAATAAGTAACATTTTAAATGTGTGTACTGTCCAAAGTGTTACCTGTTTACCTATAAACAAAAGTATTTTACTGAAACTTTACCTTTGCTACTTCATCAATTGCACAGATGAGATTGGCACACGTGGTAAAGATCTCAACTGCTCTGGATCGAGTGCGAATACTGTAAACCTGCAACGGTAACAACACAACGGTGTTTTTGTCAATAATATACATTACACATGATTGTCTCAAAAGCAAGGACTGTACTGTGTTTTTATTAAGCTGAGTATAATACCTCTGCCATTGTAAAAATCTTGTACATTTGAGGCAAAATGACAGGTGCAACATCCGGCATCTGTATATCCGTCACCTCTCGGGTAAATTCTATGAAACACATAATAACATGTTGCTTAGTAATGGTGAAAAACACTGTCACTTGTTGCAACTGTGAGGAAGAGAGGTCTAGATGTTCTGACTGAGTGATTACCTGTGAGGACCCTCATGGCGCCGTGTACAGCGTTAACATCCCCACTGGCCAGCATGTCCATGAGCAGCTTGAAGAGCCCAGGCCAAGCTTCAGGCCAGTCCCAGTGTGCAATAGCCGACAGGGCGTAGGCCACGCTGGAGCGCACCTTACTGATGGCCTCCCGCAAGCCACTTGGCAGGAGCTCACGGATCGCAGCTTTGGCCTGAACAGAAAGGGATATGGGTAACCAATTACTCATTAAACGTCACATCTCGGATAATGTCACATCCAGACATAAATATGCAGTTCTTACCCATTCAGTCGTCTCTGGGGGCCTGTATTTCTCTGACTGGGCGCACCAGTGTGTCTCAACATACTGCTTCAGAATGACAGAGGCCAACTACAAGAGACATATAGCAAACAAATGAATTAAATATTACCGTAAGAACCAAAAACTTGTTTTTCTGCTAATTTATGCTTTGATATCAAGTCTTACTTGGCGTATAGCAAGTGCTTCGTGTGGGTCGACAGTGAGCTCTGCGAGGTGAACTCCAAACTCTACAAAACAGGTGAAATAATATTACATAGTCAAACAACCACTTGCAAATCAAAACTGTTTATATATTAGGTTTAGTTTAGTTTAGAAGCACAACCAACAATCAGTTTGACTAACAATAAGTTAACAAGCTGATACCACAAATGCATTAGAAGCCAAGTCTGATGAGTACATTAAAAAAAATAATTTCTAATGTATGCTTGATTCACAGCAACACAGCATTGACATATCTTTCATCATCCATGGATTTAGCTCAATGAGAAGCTGGTGGCCAAAAGACAATGTTACTGCTGACACCCAACACCCTGATACCCTGAAAGAGAGGCCACAGCCAGCGACCCACTGGGTTACACTGACCAACTGATTTTCAAGGACATTTCTACCTTTAAGTGGGCATGTTTTCTTTCTAAACATAAAAACATATAGTGTACAGTCGGTCCACAAATACACAACTGGTTCAAAAATTTGTGGTCATCTAAAAAAAAAAAAAAATTAATACTTTTATTCAGCAAGGATGCATTCAATTGATCAAAAGTGACAGTAAAGACATTTATGTTACAAAAGATTTCTATTCCAAGTAAATGCTGTTCTTTTGAACTTTCTATTCATCAAAGACTCTTGAAAAAAAAAAAAAAAGGATCCTGGTTTCCACAAACATTAAGCAGCAAAACTGTTTTCAACGTTGACAATAATAAGAAATGCAACTTGAGCACCAAATCAGCATGTTAGAATGACTTCTGAAGGATCAAAGCCATTGATAAGCTTTGCCATCACAGGAATTGTATTTTAAAATATATGAAAATAGAAAACAGTTATTTTAAATTGTAATAACACAATAACATCATCAAGGAACTATACAACAATAGCTCTGCTACAATAATGCAGCATTCAGTCTCAGAAAATGAATAAAGAACATAGTTCAATATGAAGAGAATATAATAAAATATTATATATCATAGGCTTTCATTTTTGTAGTTAAATCATATGGCTTTTGTAATGACTGATTCTTAAACTTACACACTTTATCTTTGGCCAAAGCTACTGACTCACATCTAGCCACATAAACAAGATTCTGCTCTTTTTCCTCCCAAAAGACGACTAAACAGCCACAAAACTCTAAGCAATATCTTAACTTTCAAAAATACTGGGTGATGTAACCTTGATGATAGTGGGTACTCAGACTTAGTATTATGGACACTCCAAGAAACCAAACCCCAAGTCACAATCTCTGCTTTGGCATTGTAGTTTGAAGGCAAAATAGGATGAGTTGTGGTGTTATTTCATTCACAGGACATAAAGAAGACTGAGAAACAAACAAACAAAAAAGAATTATGTAAAAAACGGAACTTTTGGAAACAGTCTCATAAAGGGGTAGCTCACCCAAAAAGTGTCATCATTTACTCACCCTCATACTGTTCTGAATAACCATTCACTTTAATTGAAAAAGAATGCAATGAAAGTTAGTAAGATTTGGAACCACATGAGCGTGAGTAAATGACAGAACGTTTAATTTCTTGGGGGGTGAACTATCCTTGAAACTATCGCTGAAAACTTATATATTCTCACAAAGATGACGCGTATTTATCAACACTAAATTGCCATCATGTTAGTGAACTTAAAAGTGAAACTGAATACAGATCCGAACTTCTCACATAGAATCTTTTCACATGACTTCACATCCATCAAATGAAAATGCGGGAATATGTTGGATTCGGCTGCATATGCTTTGCCCCCCTCCTGTTTGTCCAGGAAATAAAATCTGCACTTCACATGGTGTCATGCATGTTGTGGCAGCATCTCGCGTCAGTTCTTACCCTCAGTCACTTCCAATACTTTAATGCGCTCCTCCGCTGCGGCACGCACTTCTTGTACCGGCGACAGAATGGCGTTCAGCGCGTCTATAAGCGTCTCCTTCAGTCCTTTATCCACCTGGTCGAGAGTCGAAACCGGGCCGGGACCCGACGCGTTCATACCCGCCATATTTTCGCCAGTCTTGCTGAGGCTAACGGAGAAATGACTGGGGGACCCGACGGAAGGATGCACAGCGCACCAATGCACGTTTAGGGAGGGACTATGAAACGATGAAATGTTGCCATTGGCGCTTTCTTGACCATAATGGCTCCATCCACAGGAATGGAGGTTGAACAGCTACACACTGAACTGCCTTTTTTACTTTGTCGCCACCTGATGCTCAGACATATTCGTTTGCTTTATGTAAATAATAAACACATATTGAGTTGCCCACAAATAAAGACCAGAAAGACTCATGATAACAGAAGTAGATCAGTATTTATAGGTGAGAACAAACCATTTTATTCCACAATTGAATTAACATCGGAAAGATCTGTTTTGAATTTTAAAGAAAGCCACAGTATACATCACAAAGTATATTAGACACAGCTTTTTCTTCTGCCTGCTACACCTCATTTGCCTGACCTCCTACATTAGGATTCTGTACAAACACTTCTAATGCATCAAGCAACAGATCAGAGCAGATCTCAAGCTACTGAAAAATCAGGGTAACCAGCAGTTATTGCTGGGATAAATAAATAATATTTTATATTATTAGACACGTGTACCAAAACAGCGGGCTCCAAAAATAATTTTAGACCATTTTGTTTAGTCCAATTAATATTATTTGGTGTAAATAGCCCAGATTGATAACTTCATGTTAGAAATTCTAAAGGTGACTGGGGAAAGAAAAAAAAAACAAAAACAATAAATATGAACAAAAATACATTTAGGGAAGCTGAAGTTCCCCATTGTTTTGCATTCATGGGATGGAAACCCCTGAGGTACATCTATGCATCACGTTCCTAGAGAAGAAATCAAATGTTATAGAAGGAAATCTCCAAAAATACAAAACAAAAAGCAGAAGAATCATACAGATTTTTGTTAACAGTCCTATCAAGGCAGTAGCACCAAGGGAACAGAGGGGGCAGGATTCAGTAAGGGGATGATATCTGGTGCATTCTTGGTGCTTTAACTTGTGTGCAAAACGGGGAGCCTTTTGACTATCCTTCGAAAAACATGATTTTGGTCCTCATTCGGTCAAATCGTTTATTGCGCAGCTGACGCAGATGTAGTCCTCATTCTCAGCCTGCTCAGCAGACACTCCCACACAAATCTGGTGGAACCACTGGTTACAGCTGCCGTCGCACTGAACCCAGTTTACCTGTGAGGACGAGAAAGACCATTAATTATTCATGCAGGCAAAGAGACACACAATAACCCAATTATATAAGCAAGAACGATGCAGTAGATTAGAAAACAAAACCTCAAGCATTTCAATTATGCTAAAACTAACCTCGTTTCCTTCTGGCTGTTGACATTGCTTTGCCGAACACACAGACCAATCCTCCTCCGAGTCATCTGAATACGATAGGTCAGAAAGGGAGTTGGAGGGGGAGGTGGTTCGTTTCTCCTCTCTTCTCCTTTCTTTGTTCAATTTAGGCTTCTTTTTCTTGGGCTTCTTTATCTTGTCTCGGTGCTGCCCTTCCGTGTTCTCTTTCTCTAGACGCCGTTTGCTGTTCTTCTCAAGCCTCTCGGGTTCCTTCTTGGTCTCTGGAATACCATCCTAGATAGAACAAATTCAAATCAAAATAAGTCAAAAGCTCCGTTCTGAAACCTAGTGAGCAGTCTCGCCTGCATAAGCAGCTGCCTTCTAAGTCAGCATCCCAACAGTTACAGAACCTCATATAAGTGGCTGATGTGGACTTTCTACATAGGCAGAAGTTCACATGAACAGCACTCATTGTTATTAGTATTGTAAGACATATGTTGTAACCGTACAACAAGTATATAAACATACAGAACACAAATATTAGATGTATTTTATTTAGATTAAACATTTTTCAGCAATACTCAGATTCATTACTGAAGAGTTTATTTAGAATAATTTCTCTCCCCTTTTTGGACATATTCTCACTTTAAACCTGTTATAAATTAGGATGTACCAAACAGGGTTGATAAAAGCTAATAATAATAATAAAAAAAGTAAAATTAAAATAGATAAACGGTATAAAAAAAACAAACAAAAAAAAAACACCACAAAAAAAAACAAAAACATAGAAGCCAATTTCTGGCACTTAAAAATGCTTTGGTAAATCATAATTATGACACGAAAATGTGAAACTATTATGACACTCAAAGTCATAATGATGAAATAAAGTTAATTATATCTAGTCATAATTATGACAAAATCTCAAATTTCTAATGACTTAATGTCAAATTCTGCTTTTTATTTCATAATTATGGTTTAGCATCTCATAAATCCTAATTATGACAGTCCAAATTGTGAGATAAAGTCAAGATTGACAAAGTGTCAATTATTACAAAATGTCAGTTGACAAAATTTAAAGCTTTAGGGTCCTATTATGCTATTTCACTTTTTGAATTTTAGTCAGAGTGTAGTGTGTATGTTTGGGCATAAAAAAGATCTACAAAGTTACAAATCTCAAAGTCCACCCCAAAGGGAGATATTTCTTTTTTTTTTTTAATCCCTTTTCAAGAACTACAACGAACGGCTCGTTTGGACTACAGCGTTGTTTTCCGGGTTTTGTGATGTCACAGAGTGGCCCATTAGAACATCATTAAAATAATTCCAACCTACAGAAATTCGAATGGTTGGGGGGTGAACGCTTGATTGAGTGCATCAGACAAGACGACAACGACGAAGAAGTGCTGCTGTAGCCTCAAGTTTTCGCAAGTTATTACACATGCACCTGAATATGTATATAATTATACATGAAGTGTGAATGAATATGAATAATTATGAAAATGTTTTTATAAATTGCTAACAGTACAATACTGGACAATGATGTAATCTGCAGAATTTACACTTCAATTATGAGACCTATGGTATAAATATATTCAACTGTATAACAGTTTCACTGCAATTCATGTTATAATGTTAGAATTAAAGAACAATAAACATAATACATATTACCGTTGCACTTATCTGTACATAGTAAATGCAGTTATTTTTAAGCGGTTGTTGACATCCTATCTAAAATGTGATATAGCCAAAATCTCTCAAATGGACCATTGACACTATCTACAATCTCAATTAGGAGTGTCAATGATTTTTAAATGACTGGGTAAATAATAAAAAAATAAAAACATTTTCTGCTGACCACAATATATTTTGTTTTTGAGCAACATAAAGAAAAATGAAGATTGACATCTTCATTTAACCTAAATCTGTAATTACAGTTATTTAATTTTAGTTATATAATTCATATACATATCATTTATATCATTTCATATCATTTAGTTATATAATTTCATATACATAATTTGATTTAATAATAACCCAATTTGAAGCAAAAACAGAATGTTCTGACTAGCTTTGTGAAATTATACTACATGCCTGAACGAAACAAACAGAAGAAGCTCTGAATGAGACGCAGATTCACTCTTTGACAGCAGGAGGCGCTTCTGGAACACCAGATACATCGTTTCCTTGGTTACCGCTGTAACCAAAGCAGCGCTGTGTTCTTGTCTGTACTTGTGTTCTTGTGAAACGTCATCAGTTGTCGCCCAAGTACTGTTCCAATTCAAAGTTCACATCTAGCCAAGTACAGTTCAAATCCCCGGATGTGTTCTTGCTCCGCCGCGGAGATGGTCCTCACTGCAGAACACAAGATCCAGATCCAACTCCTCCCACCTTACATATACCTAATCCTAACCATCTCCACCCCCTGATCCCTAAACCCACCCATCTCAACCCACCATCTCCACTCCCTAGATGTAGATCCAACCCCGCCCCCTGGATCTTTGTTCTGCAGTGAGGGGCTACTGGATCAGCGGGCGCTCAGTGCTCATGTATCCACCGAGAGCAATCTCACCTCGGCTAGTCCTTCTGACATTTGCCGCTGGCTCTGATGTAGTGGTTAAACATGAGATATAATTCATTTTGGGTAAATCTAACAGGCAATCTTTGATCTCATGAATCTATTATTTCTTCCAGGTCATATCGTTTTGGCTGAGCACAAAGTTATGTTTCATAAATTAATTATTTTTATTAATCGTAATACAGCGCTGACTTTGTTGCATACATTTGACTGAATTGTTTGCTTTGGTCTTATTTCCTATTACATACGTCTCTTATACTTTATAGTTATACTTTTATAATGGCTATTATTGTTCATTAAAACTGACATTTAACAAAAAAGGCTTTGCTTTGCAAGTTGTGCTTGTCATATTTCTTTTTATTATACATTCATATTTTAAATGAAACAGAAAAGAGGCAATGCTGTTTGATAGATTTCGTTTCACTGTAATGTATGTACGTTCCCCGAACTACATTTTTGTGGCTATTAATATGTTTAAAAGAAAACAAAAAGAGGAAGTGGTGTTTGATATCATATTTTGTCGTATTGTATACATACAGTGAGGATAACTGGAGTAGTCAAGGCGAGCTGACTGACGTTATCAAGTACGCTGCTGTTCCATTTGCAGAATTGCGAAGTTCGAACTACCCAGGATGCAAGTCCGAACTTTGCGTACTTGGTATTGAGAAATGGCCACTGCTTTAATATGAACTATACAGAGACAAGATGAAAAGAACATACCACGTAAACTTTTCTGAAGACAGTCAATTCCCCTCAGAAACACATTCATATAAACCCCCAAGATCGCGTAAATTCCAGGGGCAGCTCCTTAAGTTCGGCAGTCATACACACACGTGACTGACCGCTCGCTCACACCAACAGGAGGAGAAGGGTCGTGTTACTCTCTACACTGCACTCAACCTGAGGGATTCCTACACTTTCAGTCTTT